CCGGTACGAAGCGAGCTGCAGCAGCACTGACAACCCTGCTGAACTTAAGTTCACCAAGGTGGACGTCGGTTGGTGTGAGAAGCGCAGCGAAGGTGCTTTCAGTAAATTCCGCGAAGCCTTTCCAATCAGCTTTAGAAGAGTTGAATAGGTCCGGTGTTCTGCGGAAGCAAAGTCAGGTGGTTTATCGATCGAGATGACTATGGGCAGATGGTCTGATGCCAAGGTCAGCATAGGTCGCCATGATACGCTGTTTATCAGACCAGCGCTGACCATTGTTATGTCTGGCGATCTGCAGCAGCTTCCCATAATCCTGGTGGGTGCGTCGTCGTTCATTGTGCAGAATGTCTAATCGTCTATCTGCTCAGCCAAGTCTGTTCCCCTACGATCGTTTGATAGGCTTGAGTGCCAAATATCGTGGTGCGCATTGAAGTCACCCAATACAATACGGTTTTCACCTCTGAGGAGTCCACCTATGTCAGGGTGATATCCTGCCGGGCAGCAAGTGACAGGGGGTATATATACATTAAATACTTCGAGCTCAACATCGCCTGACCGGATAGTAATGCCCTGACATTCTTTCTGCTTCAATAAGACGATACTGCACGGTGTGGGGCGTGATGAACGCTAAGCCACCACCATTATCTCGCTCGCGATCTCGACGGTGGACGTTGTACCCGGCACAATTCAACAATGTCTTGTTGGACTGTAGCTATCAATATACCATGCCTTCCCATGAAGACGGTTATCTCCTCGATCTTGCTCTGAAGGGCGTTACAGTTGAATTGAAGGAGCTTCATGTGGTTCGGGAGACGTGTAGTTATGCTGGGTGTGAGGGATGTGTGTAGGCTTGCCGCCATTGGCTGTGCGCGCTGCTGTGGTGGTAGTGGGTGGCGTCGCAGTTGGGGTTTGCTACCGAGCAGCTCAACACGGCCCCTCGAAGTTCCTCATCTAATCTCGCGTGGTGCGCAGACCTGAACATGCCCTAAAGTGGCACCAGCCAGCGCAGGTGTTGCCCGTGACTGATGTCACATTACGGAATATCCAGGTCTGACATACCGTGCAGATTGTAGGAGGAACTAGGAGTTGTTGGCGGCGGCGTGCGGGTGGTGGTGCGGTTGTGTCTGTTATGTGGTCTGTCGTGGTTGTGGTGTGGTCTATTATGTTGTTGTGTTGTGGTGCTGTGGTGTCTGTGTTGAGCTGCTCAGGTGGACTGGGTTTAGCCGTAGAAGCTGCTCTGTTTGAGCAGCAGGGGGCCACAAAAGATGTGGTCCACTGCCGATGTGTCCGTAGTCCTGAGCAGACTCTGAGGTGGCTCCACCCCTTGTAAGTATTGCACTTGAATGAGGTGGAGTTGTGGTGTAGTCGTCTCTGACATACACAACACGTGTAGGTTTCTGGCCCTGGGTTTGACTCGACTACGTAGCGAATGTAGGCCGAAACAACAGCCCGTGGTCGAGTAAAACCCGACTCATTGCGGTACGTAGAACCGGCTGTCGTGGGAATGTGGTATGAGTGTGTATTTGTACTTGATTAAAAAATGGTTGCATACCATGCATTTTTTTTAATTTATCAACAGTGGGAGCTAAAATAAATGAAAAGTAATTTTCTTCTTCATTTGGTTTTTGATTTATTATAAACTCATTTCTATTTAATTTATTAACAGATTTTATAAGGCGAAATCACTTGATTTCAGCATGATTTGCTTATAAGTATATTACAAATGAGCTGAAAATTATGATAATGTGAACAATTTTTTAGTTGCACAAAGCGTTTGTTTAAACGTTAATTAATTTCCATAGAATCAAAAAGATATATGGAATTTTTCATGCCTAACGAAAGCGCATACTAAAACTTATTAACTATACTTTTGAGTTTAGACATTTCTACAAAAGTTGCGTTCCTTATTCCCAGAAATAGTCAGAAAAAGTCCGAAGTAGTCAGACTTATACGGTAGACAAACGGGCTCGATTATTTGCATAACCAATTTGTTTTAACTCATGCATTTTCCTCTTTAAAATGAGCATAAGCAGCCGAACAAATGCACGAAATTTTTGGGAATTAACTCGGATCCGGGGAATTTTCGATGACAACACTGGTATAAAACGGCCAGTTGTTGTCCTTTGTACAAGTAAGCAAATAAAGCGGTCGAGTTTCGCGTGCGCGGTAGCCGAGTGGTGAGAGTTGCGAGCTACAAGCCTGTAGCTGCCAGGTTCGATACTCGGTTGGAGCGATTGCGAAAAATTTTTTGTTTTTATTATTTATTTTATATTTTTTTATTTTATTTTATTTATATATATAATTTTACTTTATTTTATTTTTAATTGCTTTATTTTATATCACATTTCTTATTTTACTATTAGTTAATTTTAATTTTTAGAGAAGAATTTTGTTAAAAATTCAACAACAACTAACTGAAAGTAACGTAAAAAAAATATAGAACTTATAAAAAAAAGAATGAAAAAGAAATAAAAAAAGTATACTGGCCGTGTGACTCGAAGCCACGACCTTGCGGCTGCTTTATTCGCATTACTGCCGTCTGTAAGGGTAAAATTTTAATTTGCATTTATGCTTATTAATTCAAATTAATTTTCTCCGTCTGTCTACCATATTAGTCCAAAAAGCGTTCCTTAACTCGAAGATGACAGCAAATATGAGATAGCAACACTCAGTGAGAGTGACTCTCTTCAGTCCGAGTAGGTCAGTCCGAGGTAGGTAGGACACGTCAAGTCTTGAAAGCAATTTTTTTTGCATTCTCTTTTGTGTTTTCTATTTGTTTCCACACGCGTCAACTTTAATTGAATTCAAGTCCTTGGTTCTTTAGTCAGAAGAATTTTTACTGGCAAAATCTTGAAAAGTGTCAAACTCAACTGAATTTAAATTAACGGAAATTAAAGAATATACAAAAAGTTAGAATTATCCAAAAAGTAAAAAAAGTGAATTGAAAGTGGAAGGAGGCAAAAAAAAATTTATATAGTGAGTGTTTTTTGTGCTTGTGCTTGTGTGAATGTGTTTTGTACATACATTTCTATTCTTATTTGACGTTAGTTTTGTTGTTGCCATCTTTGGACTAAGAATTTGTTTTTTTTGCGTTCCTTTACTTTTTCCTATTATTCTCTTTAATTGAGCGCATTTTCCTTACGCTCTTGCATTTTGACACTTTTCAGATTCTAGTCCGAAAAGATATGGAATGGACCTCATGTGTCTGCAGAGTTTATTAATGCAGCGTTAACCACAATACATTCAGTTTTCTTATACTAGGTTCACATATAAGTAGATTATCCTCATTTTCGAGCTTAACACCCTAATCTGTAATTATAACAAGAGATTAGCCGTATAAAATTCGTCCCTTGTTAATCTGTAATTATAAAATAATCTCAGATTTAACCGATAACTTTTCGGTGTCCATCCTAGTTTTATCGATTGTTTTTGCGAAAGAGAGGAGAAATGCCAAATGTAAAAGTAAACAAAAATGTACGCTAGCAAGTAAAAGAGGTTTGTAAAGGTATTTTTAATAAAATGTTAAGTTAAAATATATTTATATTGCTTATTATAGCAGAAAAACGTGATCACGGTGGCACAGAGAAGAAACATAAATTTTCCTTGAGATGTGGGAATAACAAGCACAACAAATTTGACGGCTAATAATCTGAGATTTGCCTGTGTAAACGGGGTGATTAAAAAACTAGCTTTGATTGAGATAATATTGATATGTGAACATAGTTTTAAGTTGAATTTGGTGTGCAAACTCGACTTTAGTGCCTCAAGCTAATCGATATTTCACAAACATCGGTGAATATTCAGATGGATCGATTTGTTTGCTACTGAGTGTACTATCACTAGNACAATACATTCAGTTTTCTTAAGTTGAATTTGGTGTGCAAACTCGACTTTAGTGCCTCAAGCTAATCGATATTTCACAAACATCGATGAATATTCAGATGGATCGATTTGTTTGCTACTGAGTGTACTATCACTAGCAATTATAATAACCAAAAAAATGGGGAAAAGAAACAGTGCGTTATCGTTGAAACAAAAACTTGATATAATACAAGCAGTGGCTAATAAAACTGATAAAAAGAGTTTGTCCAAGAGATACAACTGCGCTTTATCTACTATAAATAGAATTGTTAAAAATGGAGAAGCGTACAAGAAAGCTGCACAGAGTGGAAGCATTTATCGAAAACGGCAAAGGAAAAGTGTACACGAAAAGGTCGAAGATGCACTATGTCAGTGGTTTAATGAAAACAAAACTCAAAATGCAGCTATATCTAACACGGTGCTACTGAAGAAAGCGAAGGAGTTCGCGGTAAAACTAGAAGATGACTTTTATCCCGGATTGAACTGGCTTTTTAGATGGCGAAGGCGAAATGGAATTGGTCCTATGAAAGTCAAATGCGAAAGGGACGACAGCTTTATCGACGATTCTTCTATTAATATTTCCAGTCCTTTGCAGGAAATATGCAAAACGGAGTACAACTTATACTGCGATGAAAATGCATCTGGTCATGAAGGATCAACTACGCAAGAGATTAAAGAAAATTATCATGAGCCTACTGAATGCAGTACCGAAGAAGAAATCTCTCGAATAATAACGCCGGAAAAGCCTATTGAAGATGATTGTGCTCCTTCCATAAATGAGGCTCTACAATCGCTACAAGTTCTCAAGCGTTTTTGCGTTCTTCACGATATCGAAATTAGCTCATTATTTAGTACCGAGGAGAAAATATTGCAACATTGGAAAAGAAGTAGAAACGAATAATATATACTTTACTTTAGCTGTTAAGAGTTCCACTAATTATGAGTAGAATATAAGACCAAATTGTGTTAATACATATTAATTTATTATACAATAGTTAAAAATAAAATACATTTATACAATAGGTAATATTTGCATATACATTCATCATACACATATATAGCAATTTTAATATGCATGTACCTTTATTATTGCCTATCAGTAGCAACAAACAATAACCTGGTTCAAAACTTTTCCATTGCAGCACAGCAGAAAACGTGATGACAACTTTGAAGAGTACATCAGCTCAGCATATGCCGGCAGTAATAGTAATTTATCCCAAAAGCCGAATAAAGATAAAATTATAGTGGTACATATGTCTGGACCTCATTCAGCCTCAGCGACACGTCATCGCCGAGAAATGAAGTTGCGTAATACATTCGGTTGGACTCGTATAGACATACTAACCATGCTGATTGTTTTCATAATCCTCGCATCCCTTTCATTTTCACTGGTCGTGGAGGCGTTGCAGACTTTAGTACACATTGATCATCAAGATACAATGCACTTGCCAGTTATTGTTATGGTACTAGGTTTTTTTGGCCTTATCTTAAATGGATTGACGTATCTATTAATCGGTGGATATACAATGCATCAGGGGAGCTTTTTGCATGTGACACCTAACGGAGATGTAGTTCTGGATCGTGTGCTATCAACCAGTGGGGACTTACAAGCCGATGAACGATCACTCTCAAAACCGAACAAAGAGAACATAGACAACGACCGCCAACTAAAGGATGACCTTAAAGCAGAAATCGGACAAGTACATTATACACCAAGAAGGCAAGGTGGTGTGGAGATGTTGCGAGATGTTTCTAGTACCATATTCGTAATCGTTTGCGCATTAATTGTATACATGGCGGAAGATGAAGAGCACACAGCTAAATTCATCGATCCCGTACTTTCGATATTTTCATGTGTGCTTTTAGTCTCGCTAAGTTATCCTTATAGTAAGTATTCTTTATATTTAGTATTAAAATTTATGGAATTCGATTAATGTTATAATTCCTACCTCTTAAACAGTGAAACAGTCTTGCCTAATTCTCCTGCAAACGATTCCTGGTTCCATTGATATGGTAGACTTCGAGCGCACATTAGTGATGAAATTTCCTGAAATAGTTAGCTATCATGACCTACACATCTGGCAATTATCGGTGCATAAATCCGTAGCCACTGTGCACATAATGTTCCAGAACCCACAGCTTTATACCAAAATCATTGATGATGTACGCTCTTATTTCCACGATCGTGGAATTACTGAAGTCACCATACAACCAGAATTTCAAAGCCCAAAGTCGCCGTCTATAGAGTGCTTAATGCAGTGTAGCGCCACCGATTGCGCAGACAAAGTATGTTGTAAGGACTCGCGCACTGATCTACGTGAAGTAATCAGCTCATCTCCCAATGGTGATAGCGATTTACAGCTTTACAAGCAAAATACATGTAATGATAGTGTGGAGTCTTCTGAACTCCAAGATTTGCAAATCGTAAAGGTCCAGAAAATAGCAGAAAATATCGAAGAGAACACAAAATTTGACGGGAAAGAACCGACCGAAAAGGCCCCAGAAAGTGTTGAAGATAAAGTCATCTCAAAACCTGTAGCAGATTCTATTGAAGAGAATGTAGCATCCACAGCAAAACATGAACGTACTAAAGAATGCGGGATATCAACTAATAAAGAAGTCATAGAAGTAGGAACTGGAAAATGCAGCTGATAAAATATTGTAAATGTATTTATCAGCCAGGTTCTGCAATTCACTTACGTGTGAATTTCAACAAAATGCGCTTTGAATTCACATAGGCAGGGGTTGAAATTCACTCGGAAGTGAATTGCAGAACCCGCCTGTATATTATACATTTTATGTAAACTATTATAAATTATTACTGCTACCAAAAATGTAGTCATGCATACATACTTAGTTTAAAATTTATATTTTAGGACATACAATTGTATGTAAGTTTTCGTATATGCGCATATGTATGAATGTACATAAATAAGTGTACAAAGAAACTAGCTCTAGTTTTGATACGTTTTAAAGTGCTGATGAATTTAAATCTATTACTAATTGTAACTTAAGAAATTTTTTTAATGCTACTAGACTTTTAGCCGAATAAGTACAAGTGAACTAATTTAATTTTAAGCACGATTCATATGTATGTACATATGTACAGTTTTGATAAGATAGGAAAATCAAGTATTTCCCAACACCCATCATCCGTGTCATCGTTGTTTAAGATGAAATTATTTATATATTAAGAGACGTGTGCACATTGTACCATAATTTAATGTTGCAAAAAAAGTTGTAATAGAATGAGAAATAAAGAAGCAAATATGCTTATACAAATTACTATAGATAATAAACTGTCTCATCATAACGATATCGGTGGCAATTGGTAATGACGTCTGGGAATGGAAAAGATGACTTGTGCTCGAAAGTAAACGATTATCTCTCCAAGCTTTCTCGCTTCTTCACTGCAAGGAGCCTAGCCCTCTCCCCTACAAAATCCTCAGCTACCCTTTTCACCATTTGGACGAAGGGGGTCAGAATGCAGTATTCACGTCGATGACGGACATTCCCACGACAGCCGGTTCTACGTACCGGAATCACTCGGGTTTCATCCGACCAAGGGCTGTTGTTTCGGCGATCTAACCCCGTTTAGGTCGGCGAAGTATCTTAGAAGTTGTCCGTCCATAGGGCTACATTCACTACGCATTCTCCTACTCAGGGCTGGCATCGAGTCAAACCCTGGGCCAGAAACATACACCTGCTGTGTATGCCGAAGACGATTACACCACAACTCCACCTCAGTCAAGTGTAATGCCTGCGAGGGGTGGAGTCACCTCAGGGTCTGCTCGGGACTACGGACACACAGACAGTGGACCACGTCGTACGTGGCCCCCTGTTGCTCAAACAGAGCAGCCTCCACGGCTAACCATAGTCCGCCCGAGCAGCCCCACACACTCACACAGCAGCCACACACAGTCACCACAACACAACAACATAATAACACCACAGACCGTACCACAGCCACCACAGACCACATAACACACACAACCGCACCACCACCCACACGCCGCCGCCAACAACTCCTGGTTCCCCCTACAATCTGCACGGTATGTCAGACCAGGATATTCCGTAATGTGACATCAGTCAAGTGCAACACCTGCCTTGGCTGGTGCCACTTTAGGGCATGCTCAGGTCTGCGTACCACGCGAGATTGGACGGGGAACTTCGAGGGCCCGTGTTGCGCTGCTCGGTCGCAGACTCCAATTGCGACGCCCCCCACCACCACCACAGGGCGGCAATCACCTCAGCAGCACACACAGCCAACGGCGGCAAGAACATACACTTCACTTACACCCCACATCACGACACGTCTCCCGAACCACATGAAGCTCCTTCAATTTAACTGCAACGGGCTACAGAGCAAGATTGAGGAGATAACCGTCTTCATGTGTCGGCATGGTATATTAATAGCTGCGGTCCAAGAGACGAAGTTGCACAGCAATTCAACTTTGTTGAATTGCGCCGGGTACAACGTGCACCGTCGAGATCGCGAGCGAGATAATGGTGGTGGCTTAGCGTTCATCACGCACCACACCGTGCAGTATCGTCTTATCGAAGCAGACATCGACCGCAGGGATACCACCCTAGAATGTCAGGGCATCGCTATCCGGTCAGGCGATGTCGAGCTCGAAATATTTAACATATACATACCCCCTGTCACCTGCTGCCCGGCAGGATATCACCCTGATATAGGTGCGCTCCTCAGAGGTGAAAACCGTATGGTAGTAGGTGACTTTAATGCGCACCACGATCTTTGGCACTCAAGCCTGTCAAACGATCGTAGGGGAACAGACTTGGCTGAGCAGATAGACGATTCGACATTCTGCACAATGAACGACGACGCACCCACCAGGATTATGGGTAACTGCAGTAGCTCGCCAGACATCACAATAGTCAGCGCTGGTCTGATAAACAGCATAACGTGGCGACCTATGCTGACTCTAGCATCAGACCATCTACCCATAGTCATCTCGATTGATAAACCAACCGACTTTGCCTCCGCCAAACACCGGACCTATGTCAACTTTTCTAAAGCTGATTGGAAAGGTTACGCGGAGTTTACTGAAAACACCTTCGCAGCGCTCCCCACACCAACCGACGTCCATCTCGGTGAACGTAAGTTCCGCAGGGCTATCACTGCTGCTGCAGCTCGCTTCATACCGGCAGGATGTATATCGGACCCACGTCCAAACTTCCCTGCCGAAGCGGCTGTTCTAGCCAATGAGCGTGATAGCCTTCGTCAGGCCGATCCCGGAGATCCCCGTATCAGGGATCTCAACGCGGAGATTCGGCAACTTGTAAACGTACATAAGCGGAAGAAGTGGGAGGAGCATCTGAAGACTTGTAACTTCACCTCTGGTGTGAGCAAGCTTTGGTCAACCGTGAGGTCATTGTCTAATCCGACGAAGCACGACGACAGAGTCGAAATTTCCTTCGGCGACCATGCTTCGTCGGACCCGGAGCGATGCGCGAGCTATTTTAGCCGGCAGTTCATACTGCATCCTCCGGTGGACAAAGCCAAGCGTCGAGTGACCAGAAGGCTGCACAAACTGCCAACAACTTGTGCCCCCCTTGCTTTCACTTGCGGTGAAGTTCAGGTGGCCATCGGGAAGGCGAAAGCCTCCAAAGCCATGGGTCCCGACGGAATATGCATGCTGATGCTGAAAAATTTGGGTCCTGCGGGGGTAGCGTACCTAACGGAGGTCCTCAACTTGTCAATGGCCACTCTCATCATCCCAGACATCTGGAAGGTGGGGAGAGTGGTCCCACTGCTCAAACCGGGGAAACCTGCCAACAAAGGAGATTCGTATCGTCCGATTACACTCCTTTCCCCGGTAGCGAAGACACTCGAGGCCTTGCTACTCCCGTACTTCACAAATCACCTGACCCCAGCGAAGCATCAGCATGGTTTCCGTAAAGTGCACAGTACAACAACAGCACTTAACGCCATAAACACTCAGATAACTCGTGGCCTTAACCGTAACCGTCCCTGTGAGAGAACGATTCTAGTAGCGTTGGACTTGTCAAAGGCGTTTGACACCGTCTGCCATTCCACGCTACTAGAAGATATAGAGGCCTCCTCTCTCCCACAGAGGCTCAAACGGTGGTCGGCAAATTATCTGAGTGGTCGACATTCGTCGGTAATGTTTAGAGACAAAACGAGTAAGCAGCGAAAAATAAAACAGGGGGTTCCTCAGGGTGGTGTCCTTTCCCCGCTACTGTTTAACTTTTACATTTCAAAGCTCCCTCAACCACCAGAGGGAGTCTCGATTGTCTCTTATGCCGACGATTGCTCGATCATGGCGACTGGGAATGGAATTGATGACCTGTGTTCGAAAGTAAACGGCTATCTCTCCGAACTTTCTCGCTTCTTCACTGCAAAGTGTCTAGCCCTCTCCCCTACGAAATCCTCCGCGACCCTGTTCACAACCTGGACGAAGGAGGTCAGGCTACCGCTGGGGATTCACGTCGATGACACACCAATTCCGACGGTGAATAACCCCAAAATACTCGGAGTAACATTCGACAGCCTGCTCTCCTTCTCTGCGCACTCAACCGCTATTGTCAATAAAGTACAGAGCCGCAACAAGGTCCTCAAGTCGCTAGCCGGCAGTACTTGGGGCAAAGACAAAGAAACGTTGCTGGCAACATACAAGGCAATAGGCCGGCCGGTTTTGAACTACGCAGCGCCAGTGTGGTCGCCAGGGACTAGTAGGACGCAGTGGACGAAGCTACAGACGGTAAAAAATACGGCACTTAGGACAGCGACGGGATGCCTCNAACATCTCTTCGCATGCCCGGAAAACCCGACAACCCTAACGGCCTTGTCCGTGTGGACAAATCCCACAGAAGCTGCACGCTTCCTAGGGTTGCCGTTAGTGGAACTTGACGACAACGACTGAGATACCAACCGATCTGGGCGGGGTTGTTGTAGCCGCTACAACAACAACAACAACATGACGGACCAATCCCAACGGTGAATAACCCGAAAATCCTCGGAGTAACCTTCGACAGTCTGCTCTCCTTCTCGGCGCACAATGACAATTAAGTACAAAGCCGCAGCAAGGTTCTGCCGGTTCTGAACTATGAAGCGCTTGTGCGGTACCCGAGGACTAGTAGTACGCAGTGAATGAAGCTACATACCAGCCAAAACGCGGCACTCCCGACAGCGACCGGATGCTTCCTGATGCTGCCGCAACATCACATGCATGACGAGTGCCCGGCATGCGGAGAGACATCTCATGACTCGAGACATCCCTTCGCATGCCCACTGAACCCCACCCTACTTACGCTTCTGTCCTGATGGACACACCCTATTGAAGCTGATCGCTTCTTGGGTCTTCCGTTAGTTGAGTTTGATGACAACGATTGAGGGACTAACCGATCTGGGCGGAGTTGTTGTAGCTCTTTCTGACGTGCCTAAGGAAGGGCTAAAGTGACAGCCCTTGGTGAGATATGAATCTGGGTAGTTCCGGTTACGCAGATCCGACTGTCGTAGGAACGCAAAACAGCTCGTCTTCACGCACCGCAAGAGGAAAGAAAGGCTTAAGGGCCTGGAAACACCTCGCCTGCTCCTTCTACTGGCAAGCCATCATTCAGTAGCATGGACCAAGAGGAAGAATATAGAGTATCCAGATTTCGTAGCCGACCAAGAGCATCCGAACTGATAAGACCAGGAACTATGTGTGACATTTATCGTTAGTACCTGTCGTCAAAGACGACCTAACCTTACGGTGCTCAAAAGCACAACGTATCAACTCAATGCGATGATAAGCGCCCCGAAATGCAAGCATTTCGGTACCAATAGGCGGTGTGGGGTTCTACCCGCATTCGGGTGTTAAATGACCACCACCACGAAAGCCTCCCGAAGGACCGTTCCCAATAACAGCCCAGTAAGTATAATATGCTATCGGAGCCCCTGTTCCCCGTGGTACCAGAATAAGGTATCTGGTCAGACCTCGAAAGCCGAAGACATTCTGCCACTTGAGCCTCGCTTCGACTCAAGGACTAGAAGCTTATGGCTGGGTATCCCAGGGTTGCCAAACCCGTAATTCCACTTACGCGGAATGCACTGGGTGAAATACCAGGAACTTAAGATCATTCACCTAGAAGACGCCTTAGCATTCTCCAACAAACGCAGCAGTGGAGCAAAATTTTCCTGGGTCGTTCCGGTTACGTAGACCCGACTGTCGTGGGAATGTATACCGTTGTTTTGTTTGCTTTTAGAATGAAAAACATACATATACAATTTCTTATGGCGATTGTGTTTCTACAAAAAATGTTGCCTTCTCATCGCCTTCTTCTTAGTGTTTTTGCGAACAGGGCAAAGAGAAGGTTGCATTTTTCGGTAGAAACGAAATCGGCATTACTTTTTTTCTTTATTTCATACAAAAACTGAAAGAAGTGGTTAAAAATAGACCAAAGAAATGCAAATGAGTCAGGGAAGTACGCTGGTCATTTGACCGTCTGCATAACAGCTTGGTGGTCAAAGAGAGTAAAAATGAAAAATATTAGAGCAAAAGTGCCGTGATCCCTAGTCATATGATCGTCTGAGTAACAGCGCTCTAAGTAGTGAAGAAGGTGTGCACGAAGCCGCACTCAAAGACAATGAAGTCGATGTAACACCGAAATTCATCTTCTTCTTATTTGGCGCTGTAACCGCCCAAGCGATTTCGGTCAAGTTCAACAAAGCACGCCAGTTGTTTCTCTTCTGCGCCAACTGACGCCAATTGGAAATGCGAAGTAAAGCCAAGTCCTTCTCCACCTGGTCTTTCCATCGCTGCTACCACCAGAGGGTTCCGAGTTGAGTACTTTCCGAGCTGGGGCGTCGGTGTCCATTCGAACGACATGGCCAAGCCAGCAGAGCCGCTGTATTTTAATTCGCTGCACTATGTCCTTGTCGTTGTAACACCGAAATTATGCGGCTGAAGAACCATAAAGCTGCGGGAGCTGACGGCGTGCCAGCTTCGCTATTAAAGTTCAGTTTAAAATATTCCTCCTTTTTTGGAAGTCGGATAAAAATAGAAGAAATACAGGCAAAATGCGGCAGCTTAAACCTTAAATTTAATTTGAACAAAAGAAAATATATGTATATGTCTGCAAACAACAAACAAACCTTTAACGCATGATTCAATTCATAAAGCTGATGCCAGATAAAACTTTGTAGCTTTGCGTGACATTTATAACTTTGCCAGCGAAGCGCCAGACGCAAAAGGTATGCCACAATGAACGCAAAGAAAACAATTTTGTACTGCTTTTTTACTCGTCAAAGTTGCTGTGGATTTTATATATTTTGCTTTAAAAATATCAGCAATATAATTACGTTTTATGTTTCTACATGAAAACTCAAATTTGGACGAAATAAAATAAATATTAAACCGGTTGATTGTCAAAGCGCGCAAAAAGATGGGAGTTGGCCATCTTTTCGCTTCGCGCTGCAGCGTCAACGATCTATGTGGCGTGCTTTGTGCATTTTCATACAATTCATCTTATCTGTCAAAGCGAATCTGTCACGTAAAGCGAAGCAAAAGTTTTATGTG